AAAAATGATCGTATCCACACTCGAGTTTAAATGTAGGCCAAAATAATTTATGGGATCTAGTCGTAGGGTCTATTATACTTTCATATAATAAGACAATTCCAGCAAATATCGCAGTGGATAAAAATTACAATGACAAACAAATCTCAATAAACCATTGTCATTGGATCATCTAAACTTCAATATCTCAAAAGTAGCCTTTTGTGGGTTGAATTCTAAATTCAAATTAAGTATGTAAGTGGTTGAAAATAAAGTTATTATGTTTGCTTATGATTATTACGAGTCTGTATGTTTATTGATGTCTCACAGAGTAATCACTAACGTAGAGGGAATCCTAAAATAAGAACACAATTCTTGTAGTTGAACTCTTTGTGCATATGACCTGATGTTACGTGCTACAAAATAAGATAATATATACATTATTCTCACCTTCTTTCTTTTGCAAGTTTCCTCCGTTTTTCCATTCCATACACACCTCTATTGATATGCCATTAGCGAAACTAGACACGTTGTCGATAAATTCATTTAGTCTATGACTTAGTAAAATTAAGGATTTTGATTAAACCGTTACGTAATACCTAAATAAACCAATGGACCTTTAATAGAAGCTTCATCTGACATCTTACAACAAAAATGTATTCGAATAATGCGAAATCTCACACCATAGTGTTAATTAAAAATATATCGTGAAAAGGTCTCTATGAAATCTACTTAACTTCAGCCGGTATATTTCTGCCAAATTATCCCTAGACTTTAGAATTGTTGGCTTTTAGAATTATGAGTTCCATAATGAATATATTTAAGTATGTAACCAAGTACCCTTTTGATATATTTTAATTATTTGTGTTGTCTAATCGACACCGGGCTTACTTCACGAAACGTACACGGCACTGATTAACCGCAACAATGCCGCGGTCTGCCTCATCTTTTCTGGCTCCCTCCCTCCTCCCTCCGTAGCTCAAAGTATTATCAATCGTCCATTAATTAATTAATTACAGACTTTCAAAAGTCTATTACTGAACATGGTTATTTTCCATAGATTGCCTCATAGGGAGAATACTTGTAAAAGTTCCCTCTTTAAGCGAGTGGGTTTCAACTGTAATTTTTTTATTACTTTCAGGAAGATACTGCTGCCTATATCCTGTTTCATTTCACTCTATCGCCTTTTATGATACCCACAGGATGGGTAGGGTCTTAGAACTTCTAAGTAATAATATATATTCTTTGATAGGATGTAGCAGATTGGCCTACTCCGCCGCTACACGCTATCAATCCTGCCCTCACTTTATGATTTGGAAATATTTTCAACCAAGCAGGTATAACTTTTTCGATGGTTTTATTTTCCGCTAAGCAAGTGGTAAATCAGCATATATAATTGGGATTACAAATGGGATCCAACTGACTGTCAAGACTTGGTATTCATGCCTGATACTATTAGTTTTTAAAGTCTGCGACACGAATACTTGCAATGTAATATGATCATCATCACTTTATTTAGAAAACAAATTACTTGATCGCCCGAATGATAATAAGTCTAAACTGATTTTCTTTATATTTTTAGAAATATAATAAAGTAATAATAATAAATATCTATATAAAAAATCAATTGCTGTCCGTTAGTCTCGCTATAACTCATAAACCGCTCACCGATTTTGACGAAATTATTTGTGTTTGACTGGCTCCCTAGATGGTTTAGATTCACATTAGGTGGCGTTGTTGTGGCGATCCAGAAATCTTGTTCGATTCAGAAATTAAATCGATGTCGATTGTTGCTAACATCAGAAACGAAATCACTATAGATTAAAGACGTCTTGTCTAGTGAAATAACGTCATACATAATACTTCTACAATAGGGATGTCATTTTTAGTAAATCAGAAGATACGAGTGTACTTACTCTCATATTTGGCATAGCTTAAAGAAAACTAAGATGACCACTTGTCATTAAAAACTTTACGCATAAATTAGACAAAGTGAGACAAATATATTGACTCAATTTATGTAGAATCGCAGGTTCTCTCTATGCATACATATGTATGTAATTACTCTAATGACTCTCTGATAAAAAAATCAAATTCTCTTTTTACCCATTATCATAAATTTTTTTAAGTCTTTCAGGGAAAACCACAATTACATAAGTATTCCAATTTGTTGAAGTTGACACTATTAAAATTTAAAAAAAAATCATCCTATTTCTAATAGAGAAGATGACTGGGGTGTACAATTTGCTTAGGCTCGTAAATAAAATTAAATCCAAACCAGATACCACTGCAAAATATAATTTGTTCGTTCTGCGTTGGACCAAAAATTTATAACCAAAAGCTGATGATAACCCGGGTTAACTATGACATTAGGACGTCAAACACCTAAATTTACATTAGTTGGTGTAAAGCATTCAAAAAGTCGGGAACTAAAATATTTCAAATTAAACGCGATAAAATCCGTAAAATTAGTATAATATAATTTGTAATTCGGTTAACTATAAAAAAATATTATATAACATGATTTTCCGAACACTATTTCAGAGTTGAGTCATGCTACAACCATAGAGCGATACGATTAGCGACGGCATCGGTACATTTACTTCGATTCGACACTTGCCCACGAAATTTAAGTCATGCAAAGAAAAGTTCAGTTCTTTTACTTACAACATAAACAAAAAGATCAAAACAAGTCCACTGCTGAACATAAGCCTCTCCCAAGGAACGCCACAAGGCTCTGTCCTGAGTCACTTGCATCCATTAACAAACGAATTTACAGTTCACCTTGTGGTGAGTGGCTACTGCAGTCCGCGGACACATGCAGCCAACTTGAAACAAAGAACGCTACAGATGCGTTATCATTAACGTTCTTAGATATGAACGTTAACCTTAGATATGAATCTAAGGTTAGTTCTAGACGGAATGCCTCACATACTAGCTCCTTGTACCTTTCAGACTGGAACAGATCAAGCACGGCTATTTATTGGTAAAAATTATGTAAAGTAAAAGTAAAAAGTGAGTAAAAGTGGTGCCTACACCAGACTTACTTCTAGGTATCTAAGGACATAGTTACTAGAAAAATGTCACGCAGCTATTAAATACATTGATTCATTCATGATATTATCTACTTATGTAATAACAATTATGTAATGTATTGATTTGATAATTTTACGTTCTTTCATGTAAGTATGTAAGTTAGTATACTTGTTGATGGAAAGGATAAAACTAATTATCATCTTAAGTTTTGTTATCTACGTATTTAATTTGATTAAAAACAAGGAAAAGTTATGGATGACAACCTTCATCATTTTCCCAGCCACGATCCTCTTGATCGGCACAGGACTTGACTTGACTTGACTTGAGCAGAAGCAAGCGTTGTTAATTATTTTTTGCAGTTATTGAATAATTAATTAAATTCAATAATTTTCAGTAGTGCTATCTATGCAAATACTGCACTTTAACTTAGCTTTATTTAGTGCTGGTTTTAGGCACATAACGACCTGCATTTTTTGCTTCTAGATTTAATGAGTCTATCGGTGGGTTTTACTTCTAATCTGTTTCCAAAATTGAGATTTTAAAACAATAATACTCATTGTTTAATATTTAGATTCATGTTCACTCATTTATTGCACACTACGCGCTACCTTATCTGAAATATGTATCCAATATAGATTTCCTTGATATTCTTACTCTCTATTTAACAAAACGACAAATCCTTCAACTGGGTCAAATTCACGGTCGAAGTATACCGCGACTGAGTTTTTTTTAAATAATAATTTCGCGTCTGAGTAAATTTACGTCATAACATATTACGCTATTGTGAAGTCAACGTCAGACTGGTTAATGCACGCCAATTTGTGTTTGATTGACGTCACGTACGACATAATGTAGATAATTCTAATCTTTAATGGTTCAATATGATAGCAAACGTGAATGAATTGTTTTTGGATAGTTTATTGGCTAAGCTGATATTGAGGTTGCGTATTGATTGGTAGTTACGAATTTGTGTACAACATAGATAGACGAGAATGTCGACTGAAGTCAGTTATAATAGGTATTTTTTTAATATAAAATTGAAACGACTAGAGAACGTACAGTCTACGTTAAGTAAGCGGCTTTCGCAGGTTATGGACAACTGCAACCAGCTTCAAATGAAGAAGGCTACAGATTTGTTGTCATCTTCGAGGATGATGGAATGAATGCCTTATTGGTTATCATACTGGCTTTCTATTTCCTTAAAATCGAAACACAGCAGTGCAAACACCGCTACTTGACGGCTTAAGATACTACAAAGGGTGCTACGATACGGGCTCCTAGGGAGATAGAGAACCCTACCACTCATTATAATAATATCTAATATAAACTCGTACAGTACAATTCACAATTTATGTTTTTTGAACAGTGAAAGAAGGGAAGGACCTGTTAAAGGCTGTCATGAAAGAAGTGCTATTTAGGTATTATGTGTTTATTTTTTTGTTTTTTCAGTCTTATGAATATAGGATACTGGATAATGACCTGGTGAAGAATGCTTCAAATATTTCATTTCTTGATGACTATTTCTACTTCTCCGTTACCTTTAGAGAACAGGAGACCCCTTTTACTGGTAAAGAGGCATTCCATCTTAGTCCTCACGGGTGACAACGCATCTGCATCTTGAGTCTTTATTGAGGATAGATGTGGATGTCTATGGGTCACAGTAACCACTTACTAGGTGAATCGTGTGCTTGTTTGTAACCCTATCCCATAAAAAAATTGGTTGTCAGCTTTATTCTACAATGAGCAGCATGCATCGCACGTGATAGTTATCATTTGCACTTGGGCAATAGTATCTATGTTTTCCATAGTTTACCGCTCCTGGTTAATAACCTTAATTCCATTTCATTTAATTACTGTCTATAAAAGTCTACTGCTGAAAATAAGTCTCCGAATTGCCTCATAGTAGGGATAATTGCCATTGTTGCGACGCTTGGCGACTGACGCAGGTGGGTCAATAACCTCAATTAATATCGCCGTTTTCTTTCCAGCCAGCCGTTGGCCCTATGGGTGCTATCAGCAAAGTGCACAAATCGGACCGGAAGATCGGGCATCGGCGTGTCGGCGAGGGCGGCGAGATCACATACAAGAAGATCCAGTCTTCACAGATTATGGGCTCGATTCAACTCGGTAAGTAGATAACATTGCTACACTGCTTTCATAAGTAAAAAAGCACATCTGCATTTGTTATAAAAGTGACTTGTGAGTAGGTATACTCGGAACCATTGAAGAGTACATTGATTAATATTAGGGTTAAAAAAGCAAAACTTCAAGAGTTTTAGGATTAAAAATAATAGCTTTACTGAAATATGTTTAATTTTTAAACGAGATTATATTATAGGGCAAGCTCTGGAAGAGAAATAACTGAAAGAAAAGGCCATGTTTGAATTTTGAAATATTCGTTAACTACTAAATACGATATTCACATATTTTAATAATTTAATCAAAAAGGCATCGACTTTGTCACGTAGAATTTCCTTCTGTAAATTTTATGGCCTTAAGCATTAAATATTTTCTCTCATTTCACGAACTCTTAACTACTCCATATCCTTATAGTTGGTGATATTATGTACAATGTACGTACGTAATTAAGTAACATACGTACGTATGTTATCTTAATTACTCTTTTATTTACAACATCACAAATTTACTTTTCTTATTTTCGATAACTTTTTGCTCGTAAATGGAGCACTCTATCAATTTCCTCAGGGTTGACAACACATGTGCATTTTAATATGTCATAAGGATAGATGATGTAGATAGATTTTTATGGACCAGCATCCAATTACCATCAGGTAGATTTGTGCTCGGATGTCACCCCTACATCTATTATCTATAAGAATAACTTACCAAGTAGACTCGTTGGTGAGAGCACGCTATCTTCTCACCAGCAATGGTATTTCATATGTGTATAGTGTAGTAATCTATCTCCTCTTTTATTCCATTCGTGGTCGTTTAGACATTACGCTACAATTATCTACGTAGAAGATTGCACAGACTGATGAAGCAGTGCTAGAGCTATATTGCTATATTGCTAGAGGTTTGATTCTTTGGGTGTTAATCCGTCACTCAAGTGTGTCCATTATAGCAAATCTCCCCATGTTTGTAGTCAACTAAAAGCTCATAATGATGATTGCAGCTGATTTGGGACAGAATAAGTTTCATTGCTGAACATAGGCTTCCCCTTTAAATCGCCTCATAGGGTGTACATTTGCCATAGTTACCACGCTTGGCACGGGTTGGCAACCACAGTTTTTTATGTTTTATTCGTAAAGAGGACGCTGCTGCCCATCTCCTGATTTCTTTTCTTCTGTCGCTTCTTACCGACACCCACGGGAGGAGACGGGGTAGTTAATATTCTTACACCGCACACGGGAAAAAATACCAAAAAATAAAAGCATGACTATCTTTGTCAATTCTCCACTAGTGTAAGCCGGTTGAGTCTATCATTGTTGGATTAATGGTGTTTGTTTTGAACTGCCCGTGGTCGTAAACACCTAATAAAAAGTCCGTAAGGCTACAATGTAAATTTGTAACGTCACATTGTAAATTTCATTGTCGTCTTGTATTCTGGATTAATTTTTATAATGTAATGCTGTGCGAAGTGATTAATTTGTATGTGTACACAATTACGAAAAGACAATAGTTTTTATAGACATATTACATCGGCAAACCGACTCGATTACTACTGGCACCAGCAGTCGCGAGAAACTAAGCGAAATTTATTGATAATTTCCTTCATAAACTTTCTTTTCTGTCAATACTCGACTGACGTAGGAATATTTATCTATACATCTATACAAATAAATAAAATTGAAGTGTCTGTTTGTAATGTCAAAATAATAGCTTTTCACTAAATGCATATGAAAGTGTATATATGGTACTTATAACAAAAACACATTTTTTTAAATTGTGTCTGTCTGTCTGTCTGGCCGTCTGTCTGTCTGTCTGTCTGTCTGTCTGTCTGTTTGTTCCGGCTAATCTCCGATACGGCTGGACCGATTTTGATGGGAGTTGCACTGATAGACAGCTGATGTTATAAGGAGTAACTTAGGGTACTTTTGTTTTAGAAAAGGAATTAGGGTTCCGCGCAACAAAATTAAAACCCTAAATTACACGCGGGCGAAGGCGCGGGGAACAGCTAGTTGCTTAATAAGTATGTATAGAGAAGAAATAGGTTTATATGCTTGTTTGCCCCCTCTCCTATAAAAAAAAGAAGAGAGAAGTAGTGTGGTATTAGGATGTAGGACTCGTTTTTTAGGGTTCCGTATCTCAAAAGGAAAAATCGGAACCCTTATAGGATCACTTTGTTGTCCGTCTGTCTGTCTCTCTGTCAAGACCCTTTTTCTCAGCAACGCGTGAAGGTATCAACCTGGAATTCATATCAAATACTCAAGTCTACTGTCCCTTGGAGCTGTGAAAAAATCAAACTTCTAAGCCAACGCAATCATAAGATACAGCCGTTTATGCCGCAAATTTTCGACATTCGCAAGGGAATTCGAAAGAGAAAAAAATTTGATATGAAGCAACGTATAGCACAGATAAAGGAATAATTGCGAAAAGCATAAATTTTTATTTACATCATATAATAAAAATATTTTTAATAATTTTAAATTTATATACCTACGGATTTGTTCGGACCCTCGGTGCGCGGGTCCGACTCGCACTTTGCCGGATTTTTTTGCCGTGTTAACTATCTGTCGTCAAATGGCAGTGCTTGCGCCGTTCTGTTTCAGTCTGAAGGGTAAAGAGAGCTAGCATATAATTAAAGGCTGTTAGGCATTCCATCTTAAACCTAAGTGGTAAGGTACCATTTCTATCAATATAATGCTTTTATATATTTGAGACCTTCCACATATTTGCTTTATTTCATAGACTTTACTCTTATGTGTCTTTACATATGGGACTTCAAGTCACAAATCTGCTATCATAATGCTTATGCCTCACCTACTATATTAATGCTTTTGTAATATAGACCTTACTAACTTCAAGAAACAACAAAGAACGCTGACATATGACTTTTTTGAAGTTAGCTGTAACTAATTACCGTCAGGATAGACTTTAAGTTCTTTTGTTACTGCAGTTTTATAAAAAAAAAGTCAACGAATATTTGGGCCGTCTCGAGCAACATTGCTTTCTGTATCTTTTCTTTTAGTGTACGATATTATCCAAATATATCCTCCAGGCGGTCCAGCTTTTATAATAAGACCGGCTAAAATCGAACTATTCGAGGACAACAACCAAAAGTATTTTAGGTGAATTGCACAGCCGTCGTCGTATTGATAACCTCGTGCGCCGGATCTAGATACTTGGTTTGCTTATCTAAAACGGCTTTCACTAGGCTCTTGTTTATTTATTTTAATCGTTATATAATTATATAATATGATGATTGACAATTTTATGTACTTATGAGCTTTCATTATAAAAAGAGAAGAAAAATAACTATTAAATTGTTGAACTGTAACAATGACAAGTATCTGTAGAGTATATATTTACATTTAAGGTAATCCGTTTATTTGTAACTCTCGATATTTATACAAAAAAAATATATACATTTGTTTTATTTCCATTATATTTTCAATTGAAATTTAAATACAAGTTCGGCGCATTGAAGTAACATGTACTACGTACTAGATAATTTAAAGTTAAAATTTTGTACAGCCGACTTCAATATAAGTTATCAAAAATAACTCAAAAACTATTGGTCCGACCTTGATCAAATTGATATGGGACCACACGAGAAGTATCGGGTTTCGTATAAAAAAAGTGGTAAATCCAATTGGGCATGCCTTAAGCGCATTAAAAAAATTACGTATAACATGATTATACGGAATTTTTTAAAGTAGTTTAAATACATTTCGACAGCACTACCGGCTTCAACACCCTCGAAAACCATGAAAATGACACCCATGATGAAAAAAATGGTACCTAATTCAGCCGCCATCTTGGATTTACATTTCGACAGCACTATCGGCTTCAACACCCTCGAAATCCATGAAAATGACACCCATGATGAAAAAATTGATACCTATCGCAGCCGCCATCTTGGATTTACATTTCGACAGTACTATCGGCTTCAACGAACACCACGAAAATGACACCCACCATGAATAAATTGATATCTATTGCAGCCGCCATCTTGGATATACATTTCGATAACATTATCGGCTTCAACGCCCTCGAAAACCATGAAAAAACATCCATGATGAAAAAATTGATACCTATTGCAGCCGCCATCTTGGATTTACATTTCGACAAACCTATCGGCTTCAACACCCTCGCAAACCATGAAAATGACACCCATGACGAAAAAATTGATACTACTTACTTTTAGTACGTAGTACTATTATTTATTCTGTGCTTTTAAAATCTATACATATAATAAAAATGTAAATAGCAGACGTCTGTACATTTTATATTTTTGTAATAAAAGTGATTGAGAGATACTAAAAATAAGTAATTAAATACATTTCTACCGTTTTTAGAATTGTCTGTCTGTCTGTTTGTTTGTTAACGTATCACATATAAAGTATTGATTTATATCATGAGAATCTTTAAGGAAATTATAAAGTGTACCTTCAGGTTACATTTAGTCTTTATTTCATTAAAATCAGTTCATTCCATCAAAAGTTATGATAAATATTCTGAAGTATGGGTACGAGGTATATGTACGAATTTGTTCAATGGTGGCGTTGATTGAGTCATCAAGTGCATTTTAAACTAATATCATATTATAAATCATAATTAAATGATGTTAAATGATGTTCTATAATGATATAATTATATCTAAAACGCAGTAAACAAAAGTATTAAAGAAAAAGAATGTAATAAGTATATACAAAAATATATTAATCTTATTATCTAAGTCTAAAGTACAATAGTTAACCAATTTCATCGATAGATGGCGGTGACAAATGTAATACAAAAAGGCAGGTTGTAGTTTTTTCCTGTAGAGGAGTTTTCATATTTGCTGCTAATCTTTATATTAATCATTGCCCTACTGCAAGTTGACAAACTCAATTATTCTTTACCGCCGAGTAATCTATAATAATTAGTAAATAAAATTTTAAAAGAGCTATTAACAATTTCGTTGGTTTCGGCTAGGATCAAACTTTCTTTTTTGCTTACTA